CAACGGTCCAGGTGGAATTCCGCAATCGCCTCCTAGCCTTCAGATTTGTCACCCCTTTCCTCAGCGTTTGCATACACGGCTTATGGCATATATGCGTTCCGCAGTTTCCAGAGCTCCTTACACACATTCTATATAATCACCACGATCACGTAACAGCAGGAGATCGTGGTCAGAAGAAAACGTTTTTATCTCTCAGTAAGCTTTACTATTGGCCCGGCATGCGCACTTACACCAACGCCTACGTGGAGTCCTGTACGCAGTGCCGCGCCTCCAAGTCCCTCAACCAAAAGCGTGCCGGCCTTCTCCAACAGTTAATTATTCCCTCCCGCCGCTGAAGCCACGTTAGCTTGGATTTCATTACCGACCTCCGGCGTACGAAGACGGGACATGACTCTATCCTGGTGTTGGTTGACTCCCTTAGTAAGATGGCACACTTCGTCCCCGCGAAAACGACATTCACAGCCGCAGATACCGTGGATGTTCTCGCCGATCGCCTTAAGCTTGGATTTCATTACCGAACTCTCGCTTACGAAGACGGGACATGACTCTATCTTTGTGTTGGTTGACTCCCTTAGTAGGGTGGCACACTTCGTCCCCGCGAAAAAAACATTCACAGCCGCAGATACAGTGGATGTTCTCGCCGGTCGCCTTATTCGTTATCATGGGCTACCAGAGGCCTTCATTTCGGACCGTGATCCACGTTTCCAATCAGATCTATGGCAGCAGCTGTGTACGCGTTTTAACATCAAACGCGCCTTATCCTCCTCGTACCACCCCCAGAGCGACGGCCAAACTGAACGAGTAAACCGCACGCTCGAGCAAATGCTCCGCACCTACATTCAATCTGACGAACGCGAATGGGAGCGATTATTACCTGCCCTCGAGCTCGTGTACAACACCACTAACTATTCTTCCACTGAGCTTTCCCCCTTCGAGGTCATGATTGGGGAGAACCCCCTGACCGCAGCGGACCTCGATGTCGTTGGTGCCCTCTCCCCTACTCCGCCGATGACCAAGCTCTTCCGCCAGCTCTGCGACCGGGCGCAGAGTCATATACTGAAGGCAAAGGGCCTACAGAAGCACTACGCAGACACCCACAGCCGCGCAGTGAAGTATGCGGTGGGCGACAAAGTCTGGCTCAGTAGCAAGCACCTTCCCGCGATAACCGCATGCCCTAAGTTTGAACCCCGTTTCCGAGGACCCTTCATTATTACTGAGCGCATTGGGAGTGTTGCCTACCGCCTGGCGTTACCCCCAACGTACGAATGCCATGATGTCTTCCACGTTTCCCAGTTAGGTCCTGACTGCCCCCGCGCCCCTGACCTGGAACCTCAGGAGGCCGTTGTGGGATGGCCTCCTACACGAGACGTGGCAGGTAACCCCACGGATCGGTATGAAGTCGATTACATTATGGAGCAGCGTCGGTTCGGCGACGAGTTCCAATACCTTGTCAAGTGGCGGGGCTACCCGGAGGAGCAAGCCACCTGGGAACGTGCTAGCCATCTGGACGGTTGCCCTGCACTGCTGCGCGCCTGGCGCCGCCGTCACAGGAACCGCCGTCCTCGCTGATGCGCTGCCCTCTTTTCCCTCGGGCACCCCCGCGCCTCCCTCTTTCGCCGGCTGTCGCCCGCTTCCCGCCCTGCGGAGGGGGGGAAGGGGGTGCAGAAGCACCCTATGTGGCGGTAGCAGGCTATCCACACAGCCAGTGGCCTAGCTTAGAGGCTCACGGACGCGCATGTAGCGGTAAGCCATCTCCACAAGCACCAGCACACTGTACGGCCCGTAGATAGGACAATATCTACACCACGTTAGTGTTACTATTCATAGAGTCCCTGGTGGCAGAAATACTCAGGGGAGGTACCTATACTCTGAGACCTAGAGTGGCAAACTTACAAGGGTAATAAATGGCAAAAAAAAAAGAAATAGGAAAAACTGCGCTACAGTTAGCCAGAAGGGATAGAGTGAATGTACTAGAAATGTCGTTAGGATAGCTGACGTAGAAACAGAGGTAGGAGCATCAGCGGAATTGATAAGGCGCACTACCTCAGCAGCGACGACACCAAACGAAAATATAATAGGACTAGATAGAGGTCTAATTAGCTATCCCTGCAAGGTCCTAAGACTCCCCATGTAGTTGTTATCTACTGAAGTAATAGTAAGAAACGTGTTAAAATTAGCAACCACATTTGCACAGGTATACCTAAAATATGTACTAATCACCCTGTTCACGGTACACTCTAATTCGACCTAGAAAGAGGGGTGAGCATCACCACACGCCGCTAACAGA